CTCAGGTGTGCAAGTCATGCATAGAGACTGACAGCTGAGCAGGTATTTCACCCATCTGGACACACATAGACATGCTGTAGTGAACATTATATTAATTACACTAAAAAAAAAATATTTCCAAACTGAAACTTCCACTGTCTCCTTCATGTTCTGTTTAAGGTGATGTGGGAGCTCTTCTTGGTGTGAACAGGACAAGACGCACTCCACTTCACACAACATTAGATAGTCACAACTGAAATGGAAGGAGAGAGAACAATATGGAGAAAGAGATGTTCGGTGTGTGTCTAATTGTTGCGCTGGACATGTGATTAACACGGGAGCACTGTATCAGAGGTTACACCGAGGTCAACTCACCTGTCTGTCACAAGTTCAGGCCAACGGCGCTCTCTTGATCCACCCAGCAGAGATCTCATGACCGTCTGTCAGCCCAGTATTTCTTCCTTCCTCCTTCTTCCTTTGACTGGTTCAAGATCATGGTTGTCTCGCTGACTGTTTCACCTGCCTGACTGACTCCTCTGGCTCTGGTTGGCTCCGCCGCCTGACTCTTGTCATGGTTTTTCAATCCTCACTGCCCTCCTGACTCAACTGGTGACATCTGACCCCTCTGCCTGGCTGTCATGACCTTCGGCGTGTTGTAATCATCAGATTGTGTTGCTGAGCTATATTTTCCCTCCGTGGCACGCAGTGACTTCTTCGATTCTTTTTCTAACCTTTTTACCTGCCATGCGTTTCTTCAGCATTTCTAAACGTGACGTGGTGTCCCTTTACTAGCATGTTCCACACAATCCAGATTAAGTGATTTTAGGGTTTCTTTTGTCATTTCTTGTTGGTAAAACGAAGAGCTTTGATCTGACTGATGACAGGCTTGAGCCTTGCCTGCAACATCAAGAGGTCTCTGTGGCTGCGCAAGCAGGGCCTTCCAGTTCTCTGGCTAGTTTTAGCCTTAAGGCTGTGGCTGCACTGGATTTTATCTTCATCTTACCTCATTTTAATCAAAAGTAGTCAAAAAAAGAAATAAACTATGCAGATGTAAACATAGAGTGAATGCATTCCCATCCTTACTTAAATCAAGTCAAAATGATTTAATTGTCCAATCACAGCAGCCAAGGGAGTGGTCAGAATATATTGATCAGATTATTTAGATTATTTCTGAGACTATGCACCTATGCACCTCCTCTGTGTTGCAGGAATTTTTACTAATGGTGCTTCTGCTGGTGCTCAAACTAAACGGTGTGAGAAGACCTGGTAAAGAGCATCTTTTAGTCCTTTTACAGTGAAGGGACTTGATCCCACAATGGGATTCATAAACAACTGTAAAGGAGTTCTTTGTACATATGATTTGACAAAAGGGGTTTGTGATCCACACACAGAGGCTAGGTCCCTCAGCAAATACTGCTACTATAAGCATCATTCTAGTCTATAAAGAGAAGGCAGTGTCCAATAGATGTTTATCCTGCAGGTCTATTGGAGCCACTGACACACCAGTGTCTGACCTAGAGTATGCTCCTGTTCCCCTCTCCCTTGTACTCTTCCAGCAGTAGTCTGTGTGACCTCCCCAAACATAGTGACTTGTTTTCTCCTTCTCAACAAGGTGGCCTGTGCCTCGTAAAAACTGTACACATATGATAGATATGCATATATTATACATATAGAGAGAAATCTATAGAGTGTGTCTATATGTGGTCAGAAAATAATTTCAAACTGACAAGATACTATATAAATATATATATATAATATATATATATGTTTCTTTTTTCTTCATGGTTATTTTTCTATCTGGCTGGAGGTCTGAGAAATGTCTTATTTAGAGTGTTGAGCGGTGTGATTTTCCTCTGATTTGTACTGTATATGAAAACCCCCCTCAGCAGCAAAGTTAACATTCCCTGTCTGAAAATACAGGACAGCCCAAATAGAAAAAAATTAAGAGCTTTAGGACAGCTTATGGGAAACAAAGAAGTGTATCCAAATCTATCTAGAAGTTTAGAAAAGGTGACATTATTACATTCCTTTCTTAATGTGAAAAACAACTCAGTTGAAGACCACTTTGCCTGTGGTGACGACTTTGAACAGCGACTTTATTTATTTTTTTAATTTTGCAGCTCGCACAGGTAGCATTGAGATTATGTCTGCTGAACTCAGCAGTCAGAAGCTTGCACTTGTGAGAGGACTATCACAGTTATCACCCAACCGGAGGTTTGAGTGACTCTGTCTGGATGCATTTCCTTCGTGTGTTTGTCGTCGTTGTTGTCTCGTAAGCCGAAGTGATGATGTATGTGACTGTGACAGCTAACCAAGTAGAAAAAAAACCCACACGCGCACACAAATTGTTACAGTATAGTGGAAAAATGAAGTAGACTGTTACAATCCCCAGTTCCTCTCTCTAACCCTCATGGTGCCTGTGTGTCTCCCTTTTATGGCCAAGTGTTGGTTGTTGTATATAAATGTCTTTCCATTCACTCATCACTCCAAGGTGATCTGTGCATCATCTTTTATGTGTCTGCTTCCCACCATTACGGCTCCGATCCACTGACCAAGAACCAACAGACCGTGTGAAACTTTGCTGTTTGTGTTTACAAATGTTAAGATAAATCCTGACTTGGATGTTTCAAAAAAACAAAAGGGAAGACAATGCAAACAGACAGAGGAGCAACAATCCTCTCACTACACCATGAGGGGGATGAAGTATGAATCCTCTATTTTCAGGTCCTTATCTACTGAATACTTGAAGTAGGGAGTTCTCCTACCATGAAATAGTAACATATGATTTACATGGTAGACGACATTTCAATTGTGCCCATGCATGTCGATTTTTACATAATGTGCCAACTGAAAGTGATGATGTAAGGATAATCTCCTGTTCTCTATGCAGAGCGATTTCTCTACTATTGTGTCAAAAAAGGTTTCAGAGACACCAAGGCTTAGAGGCTGGGACTGGTTTCCTGAGCTTAGACGCAAGAGTAATCTGACATTGCGTGTGGCAGATTTGAGAAGGCAAGGCTTCATCGGTGCCTAGAAACAGCTGTGTAGAAAGACTTGAAAAGTCACCGGTAATTTTCAAAAGCCTTCAGGAAAAAGAAAAAAAAGCCTACCATACATTTTCACTGTATTCTTGTAAACAGGTTGTTTTTGTTTTACTGCATTGTTTTACTGTTTTTCACTGAAAACTTTGGATTAAACAAATCACTGTGACCAATGCCAGAAACGCTTTTGTTTAACAGAACAAATATTATGTTTACTTTTTTATTATTCATTTTTTTGTATTTAAGTTAGCTTTATTTTTTCTATTTTTTCGGTGCACTGAACATGCCAGTTTGAGACTGTACTATTTGTATAGGTAAATGTTTTGAGGTGTACAGTAAAAACCAAGGAGCAAACTAAATGTGTGTCCAGCATGCTGAATGATTATTCGTGTGAACGTGAGCTAATCTCCCATAAAGCATCATTCCTCATACATTAATTGCATCTGCATCGTGCATTGTGACGGTGTGATGTTGTGTTTGAGAGTGATGTGTGTCTCACTTACTGTGTCCCCTTAGTAGACAGCCTGTGCAGTTCTGTGAGAGTGCAGCATGTTCTTGGAGTTGCTGGTGTAAATGCATTCAGAAAAGAGGGATGTGTGCGTGCATAACTGCAATTTATTTGTTTATGAGTGCGTGTATGTTGTTGTGTGAATGCACAAGATAGAACTATTTAAAAAAATCTAAACAAAAACAACAACAACTTTATAAAGAGAAAGTCCCTAAATAAAAAAAAAAGTGAGATTGAGTAAGTTTGGGGAGAAAAAAAAAGCATGGATACTCTGTAATGTTTTGTTTTATAAAAACTATAGGAGGCTGTCCTCAGTGCCCCAGTTTGCTATTGTATGTGCTGTATCAGAATATTACTATTGAGTGTTGGCCAGCTTGTTTATATCCATCAAATAAAGGTGACTTTCTTTCTGTCTGCGTTTGTGATTTTTCAACTAAAATCACTTAAACAGTTGCTACTTTATACATAAACTTTGTATACCTTCTTTAAGTTAAAACCTGATTTAATGCTCACTGAAGAGGACTGATTCAGAATAACTGTGTGTAAAGTATGTATTTGAGCATTTATACCTTGAAAAATGTGCACATGGAAAGCATTGAACATAACAGCTTTACTACAAATTTCCATACACCAACACAAATCAGGATCCTAATGAGGACACATAATCTTTCCTTTAGTTTGTGCTGACAGCAAAAAGCAAAGATGAAAACCAGCACAGAGACACTTTGACTTCAGAAACATGAACAGGTAGAAATGGAGGCAGCAGCCTAACTGCTCATTGCTGCTTTTGCTACATGTTAAAGTTCAGGGTCTGGCTGCTGAGCTGGGGTCCACATGCCTTGGACCATCGTCTGTAAACTATAAAGATGGTTATGTTGGAAAATTTTAAATAGATCACCAGTTTGTGAAATACTGAGACCAAGCTGTCTGGCAACAACAACCTTGACATAGTCAAAGTCACTTAAATCATTAGCCAACTATATATTTGCATAAACGGTAGCTGAACAGGTGTACCTAAAAAAAAAAAAAAAAAGGGTGGTGAATGCATCCTCTCATTGTATTTTGGCTGCTCCAAATACAGAGAAAAAAACCCCCAATCGTTGCTTATTTCTAATGCAGTACATACAAATAACAGCAGCATTTTATATGGAAAACTGGCCATGGTCATTACCTTGGACTGCTGCAGGAGCACAACATTAATGTGTTTGTTTAATATAGATAATAATCTAAACACATGACTTTCTTCCTAAGCCTTCTGCTAAGATACCATCTCCCCCCTTTGTTTAGGTCTTTAGTTTGGATTCTTTGGGTCTTACTTGTGTAAAGTGAGACAACATTCATCGTGGTATTTCAGTTCAGTTCAGTTCAGTTCATTTTTATTTCAAACATTTCAAACATGAGCCTTCACAATCATTACAATATATTATTCCAATATTTGTTTGAAAAGGAGTAGGTAGAAGTAATTAGTATTTAGATGTCTCCAGCTTCATTAATGTCCTTGTGAGAAAGATACTTGAGACCCTGAAAGTCAGTTTTTTCCTGGGTGTCTGTGCCAATAGTTTTAAAGATTTAACAGGTTTTACTTGAATCTCTGCAATCGAACTCACTAAAACTGCAATGTGCACGTAGAATTCAAGCCATCTGTAATTTTATTCTACGAAATAAGACGATGTTAGATACCACCAAATGCACTTCAACTCTTTAGCTGCTTAACTGAATCAACCTTTTGAAATCTCACTGCACAAATGTATTTTCTTTTCCATACTCCATAAGGACCATGATATCACACACTGACTTATGGAAAAACAATTTAAATCCATGAGTCTGAGAAAAATCTGCAATCTTGCAGAAGATAAGGCACACTAAATGTCACCCTCCTGAATTAAACAATTTTATAAGCAGCATAAACTTAAAGTAATAGTTTATATACTTTAACAAACAAGAAATTTTCAAAAGCACATATTATATTCCACACAATACAAAATAATGCAAAACTCCATGGCCACTCTATGCAGTAGCACATTGGTTTGTCCATTTCCTGTAAAGTTTTCTTTGCAAAAGTCTGCAACTCTAACGTCCCTTTACAAAGCTGTCTAACAATCGGTCGCCTCGATCAGAAAGCCAGTAACCCGCCATGGCTGCCAATGCTCCCATAAACACAGATGTGTAGACCAAATCTCCCTTTGCTGCAAGTGTTGCCAGAGCACAAAGGACCACCCCAAAAAACATCTGCTTCAGTATCTCCACCTCATCATCCTGGATATCCTCAAATAGACCTTTCTCCTCAAAATCTGCAGGAGAAGGGTGGGAGAAAAGAAGAATTCAGTTTGGTTTCCTTTGAGCAAATTTGCTGTTCATGTATTTGTAAGTGTCCATGGTTAACATTAGGTGGCACTCACGAGGCAACTGCTTTTTCACACAAACACTGTCCATGCGGATGAATCCTTCAGCGCAGTCACAACGGAAAGATCCTTCTGTGTTGGTACAAATCTCATCGAGACCATGGCAGGCAAGCACACGGTCACTGCATTCATCTATATCTGAGCAAAACAATAGCATCAGAATGGTCAGACTTTTTAAGCAGCTAGAGCTTTGGAGCTCTACTTTTCCACCATGTACCTGCATCATTATTTTTCACCTACTTTTTGCTCTGTCTGTCATATAGAGTGAAACTAGCACATATAACTAGCAATGCTTTATTGAGTCATTTGTTTGCTTTTGGTTCACATTTAATCAGCTACTAGTATCTCCTCCTTCATAGCCTGGTTGCACTCAATGGTGTTTTTGCCTCAAGTTTTGTTGTTTTGACCTCTAATGGGAACAATTTTCTTGCATATTTTTTCAGTGTACTCTTTTCACTAGAGGCTGACATACAAGCTCTTTCTTCAAACATGCCTGAGCTTGTCTCATTTTTGTGCTCATTATTTTTAAGGCAACAATATTGCAAAAAAAACACTTTTATATTGTGAGAAAGAATCATACCAGGTATTTTATTACAACACGATATGGCACAGGCCAGTTTTACAGTGTTCCAGCATTTTTGGAACTCGTGCATATATCATGCACAAACTATTCTCTTGTATTTACCCAAACACTTGGACCCTGTCAGTCTGTACCCAGAAGCACATTTCCTGCAGCGTGCTGGTCCGCTACCCATGCAGCCCACACAGGCCACGTCGCAGCCTGAGAAAAGAGGGGTCATTTCCTTTTTTTAATCCACTGCCTGCATTGCATTCTTAAGCTGCTGCAAATAATAAGCAAACAAGTGAACAATAGGTCCAATTCTCAATTTTCTGCATGAGTATCCAACATAGTTTCTTTAACACCAACTCTAAGGCACTGACCTCTGCACTCAAAGGATCCTTCTGTATTAAAGCAGTAACTGTTTGGGGGACAGTTACCCAGCTGTGTGCCACACTCATCGATGTCTAAAACACAACATTTAAAAATGTAAAAACATCTTTTTTAAAAATTAAATATATAAGTGATAATGTCTTGACTCCAGAAAGAAGCTCTGTATACAGTACCTACACAGATCTTATTATGGAGTGTCCATCCAGCTCTGCATTCCTCACACTGGTCATTTTCTGGCCCTGAACACAAACTGCAGCTATCTGGACAACTGCTCACCTGAACAGCCAGCAGACTCCATAGACAAACACCCTGAAGCAGGTTTCTGTGGAGACTCTTCATGCCCATCTGGCCAGAAGATGAAACTATGAATTTGCTCCAAAATACCATGTCTTTACGAAATGGTGCTTGTGTTAGTAGAGATAAAGTGAGATTTATCTGTTTACTTCATGACAATATCAGTTATTTTCCACAATTATATTTAATGGTCTCCAACACTGCTTCACAATATTTCACAGATGTTTTGTTTTGACACAGGTTTTATATATTAAAGTTTTACATATAAACAAAGGTTGCTTAAAAATACACAAAAATACTACTACAGTTCTGAATGATATATCAATTAACTGCTATTATCAACAGTTACTGGAACATCACAGACATATCATATCAAATGTATTTGTTGTCTTATATGTTCTCACTGTTTTTTATTTATTGATTGATTTTTTTTTTATTGAACTAAATGCCGAAAAAAGAGGCTTGTGGTAATTTAGAAATGATGTCATCACCTAGTTTGCCCAGTAGAGTGGTTACATTGTTTACATTGTACTCAATATTATCTGCAGCTGTAGCAAAGTATACACCACACTTGAGCAGAAAATATTAAGTTGCTATTTAGAAATTGTTAGCTAGAAAGTTAATAAATTTTGTTTTACTTCCCGAAAAGTCTAAAAATGAAAACCTCCAGTATTGGCTGGGGTAACAGAATACATTGCTTAACACACCCTAATTAGGGTTTTCCATATAAAGGATATTAACTTCTAAAATAGTCTTAGTTAATTTATTTGTTCCACCACTGTTTGGTTCAATATAAAAACGAACATTAACATAAACAAACAAACAAAACCAAAAGAAACCGGACGTACTCGGTTACCGTGCTTCTAAATATAAAGTAGCCTTGATGCCAGTCTCTGGTTCTTTATGTTTCACATTGAAAAAAAAAAACATATCAGCCAACAGAAAATCTGACACTAAAACAGGCAACACGACCAGCAACAAACTGACTCTGAAATGAAGAGTATTCGTTACCTTCGCGCTGCTATAGGGTGAAACGGGCAGAAAACTTTAAAAGAAGTGAATCCAAGACAGACCCGCTTGACACATGACCCGGCTGTTGGCTACATTGTGTTCAGTTGCAGAGATAACCCACACCTCCCGCGCGGGCGGAGCACATTTCCGTCCCAAGGCACCGCTCTTACGGAATGTGGTAATACTTATAACAAGTACTTCAGTAAGTCCTTACACTGGCCCAATAAGAGCCGCTGTCCTTCCAAAGACCAATCACAACTTGATGTGTTTTAGCTCTTAAACCAAACAAAAAAACAAAAAACAAAAAACAGAGGCAAATATAGTTATAGACAGGTGTGGACCCGCTTAGCGTGCACGGTTATTTTTAGTCTGTAGCAGTTACAGTTTTGTAGCTTTGACAATAAGACTATAACCGTTCTTACTTTCAAAAAATCCCCTAAAAGACCAAAATGAACAGTGAACCTTAGATCATCCAGATTTTTTTGCCGTTGTCTTTGTGTACAGAGATAATCATCTCAAGACATGTCAGGACTTAGTTTATACTGTCAGTTTGTATACACTGTCCTGGTACAGCAGCTGCTTCTGCTTAAGCAGATTTTTTTTTTTTTTAAATAAGGCTTGAAGGTATGTGGAAATTTAGAACAACAGATTATTGGTTGTGGTCTCTGTATGGAATTTGTTGACTGTATTTGTATCACTTATCACTGAGTCGGGAGTCTTATTCTTCATTAGCATATCATCTTCATGGCAGCCAACTCTGATGAACATATTCTTCATGTACACACAAAAGCAATACAGCTTATTAAAGTACATTTGGGTGATTTAAAAGATTTACACGATGATGGCTTCTTGCTGGTCTTGGTCCCTTTTTAGCCATTGGAGTACCTCACCTTCCTCCATATGATCCTCTCTCTGTCTTTGTCACAGTTAGCTCAGCTAGGAGAGACTGAGTCTGAGAGGGAAGACTAAACAGTGGCAGCCCCTGAAGAAGCTCTGGTAAACACCTGTCTCTGGTGTGAGTCTCTCTTGGGTGGGAATCAAATTTCACCAAAACGAAACGTTTACCAGCTCTATCAAGGAGCTTGTCAGCTTGAATGAGGGACAGGGAGGCTGTGAACAAATCAGAATAAGGTGACCACAGCTTTGGTAGATCATTTTCTTTGTTCCCCATGCTTTCGTTGATAATATCTTTGTTCCAGTGCATCCATTCTTCGGTTCTCTCCAAGGCTCTACGTGTCAGAACCAGCAGAACTCGGCCACCTAGGCTGTTAAGCTCCAGCAGCTGTGAATGCAGCCATGGCAGAGGCCCCCAATTACACTGCTCCCTCCTGCTCCACTGGTCGACAGACACACTGAAGCCCTTGTCACTGAGGTTGGACCCGATATGACACACCAACTTAGAAGTGGCATCATCCACGTCTGGGGGGCTCAGCAGGACAACATGACGCATCTTACCAACTTTAGAGAAAAGTAAGTAATGTCAGAATTGTATTGTTGTGGGTGTGTATGTGTATGTGTGTTTTAGTGAAAGTAGAGAAAAAAAAACTCACTTTTTACTATCCCACCATGTTGCCAGCTCCACACCCATCCTATAAAAGTAAGAAAAGTACAGGTAAATTTAAATCACTGGATTTATCACTACATGGATATTTATCTCTTCACAAATAACTGATTCGCTGCACCGTGAATACGTGATGTTATTGTTAGACTACTAACTCGAAAAAGAAAAGGAAATTTTCAAACTTACCCTTGATAGATTTATGAAAGGACCATAACAACAGCACAGTAATGAAAGCCAGCAGCATAACAGCAGTGGCTAGGAGACTCCAGCGCCACCTGCCAGCTGCAACTAGAAAAAAATAAAATCCCTTTTCAGAAAATAGAAGAATGCTATTCTTTTACAATTTTTAAAATGTGACATGTACCTACCATTGTTATCAAAACAAAATGGACCTAGGTCATGTTCCATTCCCTTTACTCTCATCTGCACAAACAAATAAAAACAAAGGAGTTACTTCTGTGCAGGAATCAGGTATGACTAAGTCTATACATTTTGGAATACTTTACCATCAAACACGGCAAGGGCCGGAGGGGTACATTTTCAAACACAAATGTGTTCACCTGATGAAACAATTGCAAATCCTATTAGTTTATAAAATATAATAAATGTTCAGCTAGACACTGTTTTATTTTATTTTTGTCTAATACAGATACATTGATACTAATATTGGTACTTCACTCATTGCAAATGTCCTTTATTTTCAATTAAGAGCTGGAACAAACTGATATAGTGCATACAATCCCGATCAAAAGTTTAAGACCACTTGGCAAAAATGGCAAAAAAAAAATCTTATTTTGCATGGTTGGATCTTAACAAGGTTCCAAGTAGAGCTTCAATATGCAACAAGAAGAAATGGGAGTGAGACAAAACATTTTTGAGCATGTAGTTTTTTGAAAACAACGCTGAAACTGAAACAGGCTGTTTTACAGCTGATCAAAAGGCCAAATCTGTCAAAAAAATTGATTCATTGTCAAATTCTGTCAGGTAGTCACACTGTCACGATGTTCTGAAGGCAAAAGCAAAAAAATGTTCCCTTTTTGAGTGTCGTCAGGTTGTTGAACTGCATAAGCAGGGTCGCAAAAAGAGTCTCTTGAAATCCATATACCTGACCGTTTGGACCAAACATGGGACACTGAAAAGTGGAAGAAAGTTTTATTCTCTGATGAGAAAAAATGTAACCTTGATGGTCCTGGTGGTTTCCAACGTTACTGGCATGACAAGCAGATCCCACCTGAGATGTTTTCTACACGCCACAGTGGAAGGGGCGCCATAATTGTCTGAGTTATTTTTTTCCTTCAGTGGAACAATGGAGCTTCAGGAGGTGCAGGGGCGTCAAACGGCCGCTGGCTATGTCCAGTATTTGCAGAAAGCATCCCTCATGATTGAGGGCCCTCGTCTGTGTGGTAACAGTACACAATGCCTGAAGGACAAGGGATTTCTTCCAGGAGAATAACATGACTCTTTTGGACCATCCTGCATGTTCCCCTGATCTAAATCCAATTGGGAACCTTTGGGGATGGATGGCAAGGGAAGTTTACAAAAATAGACAACAGTTCCAGATAGTAGATGCCCTTCATGCAGCTGTCTTCATCACCTGGAGAAATGTTCCCACTCACCTCATGGAAACACTTGCATCAAGCATGCCACAGTGAATTTTTGAAGTGATCAACAATAACAGTGGAGCTACTCATTACTGAGTTTATGTTTGGAACTTTGATTTTTGTTTAGGGGGGGTTCGAGGTTTTTCGCAGGTGCGGTCCCAAACTTTTGATCAGCTGTAAAACAGCCTGTTTCAGTTTCAGCACTGTTTTCAATAAATTGCGTGCTCCAAAAAATGTTTTGTCTTTCTTCTTGTTGCATGTTGAAGCTCTACATGGAACCTTGCTAAGATCCAACCATGTAAAATATGATTTTTTAGATAGATAGATAGATAGATAGTAATAGTGAAGAGGCTGAAAAAGAGGAGTGCATGCCTCACTAGGCTGTATCACGTCTTACCCAGAGGCCCTTGATGTTTTGTTTCCATGCAGTGCCATTTTCCAGCTGTTGGCTGAAGGCACTCCTGCTTCGACTGTGTTTCTTAAGCAGCCACACTTTACCATCCAGCCTGCAAGGTGCAGACACGTTCCAGGATAACATTTCTCCAAAGCTGGTCATTTGTACATGGGGCTTTGACACGGTGATATTTTCCCATATGTTCTTTTGTGATTCATGTAGAGAATCTAGGGGAGACACATAGTGAGTTATGATGTCTGCATTTCAAGGAGGTAATCATCCAAATTAAACAAATAGACATTGCTCAAATTTTCTCACCAGATTTACTGAAGGGGCATTGTAGTGACCGTGTAGACCTTTGTCCATCCTCGTACCACAGCTATAGGACATGTGAATACGTGAATATGATAGTCATATAAGTATGTATGGGACACAAGACTGCTGCTATTAGCCAGGAGAAATCATGTAAAAGAGCTGATGATACCTGGAGACACATGCAGCGGGTTACGGAGTACAGTGGTAGGGTCATCCTGTTCCAACTCTGCAGAGTAACATTTAAAATGGCTTCAGCGAAGAGTAGTACAACTTTAGTACAATTTGCCTAATTGCCCGGCTACTTTTGTGGGCAGAGAAAGACAATATTCATCACATTTATCAGGTTATGTTTATCAGGTAGTTACTTTGCAGTGTTAATGATTACTTATTATTAACAGTGCATTTAATAAAGCAGCGAAAGCATTTCCTCCTCAAATTCTTGAATTATTCCTTAAACTAAATACCTTCTTCACACACACCAAAAGTACTAAAATTTGCTTCACCTACACCAGCCATCGAATATTATGATTGTATACTTATTTGTGTTTATATAGCATCATGAAAAACTCCACGATGAGTAATTTCTCCTCTGATGCTTTCTAATAATTTGAAATAAAGTGAAATTTCAAAGCTACAGTTTTAGTTAGAATGGTGTTTTTGCTTATTTTACTAAAAAAAAAAGTCAAACCCTTTCCAACCTTTGTACAGAATATAAATGTAGATAAACTATAAACTATAAATGTCATTAAATTAAGGCACTGATATCACTAACCTGACACCTTCCCTTCTGCTCGTACTGGATGCACATCGAGGGGGGGATCTTATTCCCGTCTTCAAGCTGCAGCTCCACTTGATTCATCTTTGAGTTTACTGCAAATGTGAATTTGGGCACTGAAAAGAGGAAATCAGTATCAGTTATTATTGGGGTTTTTTCTCTCTCCTGCTCTCTTTTTGTTGTTTTTTGCTTTAATGCACAGGGACATTGTTTGATTGTGTGTTTTACCTTGACACTCTGGTAAAGTTTTCTGCAGTTCCTGGGAGCACACTGAGAACAAACAGGTATATATGTCACTGTTGCCAGATGCGTAATAAGCTGTAGCTTTATAGTTCAAGCGTAATTAAAAATACACACCTTCATTAAAAGAAGGAGCAGCAACCCTTTCAGTTATACTTGAGCTACGGACAATCAGGGAGATTTCAAAGGGAAAGCCATCTGACTGAGTAATCACCACTGAGATCTGTAGAAGTCACATACAGATCAGCGTTAACGAGACAAGTATGCTGGCAGTGCAAAGTACATGGGGTTTACAATACCTTTAGCTGGTTTTGTTGAGTAAGAGCTTCATGATTCACTGTAAACACCACCTTCTTGCACTCTGGCATGGACGCGTCTGTGCAATAACATACTGTCAATGACCCTGTGGTAACACAGAAACAAACGAAGGTGTGGATAAGAATGGATTGAAACTGAATTTCAGATATGATCTCTCAAATGAACCAGTGAAAACTTCATTTCCACAATAAGCCAGTAGTTTTATCTGTCAAGACACTTGACTTATTTTGTATTACTAACCATTAATAACTGAAACTAGTGGTTTTCACTCGTGCCACTGTAACTATGACAGCGTTGCAACAAACCTCTGCTTCTTCAGACTGACTTATGAAAAAGCAAATCAGATGTGACTGATTTTTATTGTGAGCTAAATTGTCTTTTTGTTAGCAAAACACATGTTCATTTCACACGAACCATTTCACAAATAAACTCCATGTTTGTTCATTCATTGTTCCAGTAATGATTCCCAACATGCTAGAACACGTTCTTCTACATCTCACTTGGATGGCTTCCAAAACACATCTGCTTGTATATCGCAGCAAGTAACTCTGACTTTCAAGTAAATAAGAGTCATTGTTCACTGTAGTGGGTTTCCTTCAACCAAGACAAAAGTTTAAAAATTGCATCACATAAAAAGGCACGTTACAGTTTCCTTTTGTACTAATACGAGGCTGATGTTTGAACTGATAAGTGGATTTCAAATACCTTGTGAAGTGATCTTGTCTTCTCTGTATTCTTCCATTTCTGAGCCAGAGGAGCCTTGATCCTCTGTGTCTTCATCTGGATCGATGTTAAACTCTATGTCTATCACCAAACATAATGCACATGCTGTCTTGTTCGTACAGCAGAGCTTAAAATCTGGTTTTAGTGTCTGAACATCCACAGTGTTTTTGCTGGGATTAACAGGCATCTCATCTTTCATCTTGCATTTAGAGAGACCCTTTAAGGAGAAAAGAATTTAGAGGAAAAACATTTGACGTGTTACTGAATGAGCCTGGGTGGCAATATTTGCAGTTCTGATGACTATGTTATAAAACATAAAACACTCTGATCATATAACCTTTTGTCTGCTTTTAATTAAATGTTTAAGAACAGACAACTTGATTGATGAAACAGGAAATGAAAATGTTCAGGGACATTATAATAACCTATTAATGAAAACTGTGTTTTATGTACAGGGCATGCCATTGTCGGTGTATTTAAGTATTGTAAATTATAGTACCTTTGAGCAAATGACTTTGTGGCTGTCATGTTCAAAAATCTCCAAGCCATGAACTGGCATGTGTAGACTCAGTAAAATACACCAGAAGGACCATCCAAGAGCCATCATTCTTCTTTAGGTATCTGCAGCAGTCCTACAGCATTCCTCTATGCATATTTCTCTGAGGACAACATTCAAACCTTGTTAAGCGAGTAATTTGGCAGTTTCCTGATCATCAGCTGGGTTAGAGATTGGAAGTTATACACATAGAAACTCTGTTTGTACAAGGAAGGGAGTGAGGCACTGAGATAAACTATAAACCCACATAAATGAATATGTGTTTCACATTTGTTTATGGCCTAGTCAAAAAGAGATAAAAATAAGTAATTTTGTTTAACAGAATAACTTAATCAATACAATTTAGATCTAGCAACTTGACTGGCATTGACAATCTTTGTGTTGTTAACAAATCCATTACAGTGTTCGCTGTTAACTCAATAGTCCTTCTTAAAACACATTCAAACAGTAAACAAGAACACTGTAGTATGACAATAGATAAGACAGGAGTATAATGACATAAAACTACAGCAAAATTAGTAATCTAATAGAGAAATAGTCTTACTTTCTTTAAAACCTCATGTTGTAATCCACTCCAAAGTGTGCATTTCCACTGGGTATTCAGCTCCACACCTTACCAAAGTAGCCCACAAGTGCTTGAGTCATGTGAAAATTGCACCACACCGCACGTCATTGTACTGAATCAAGACAAGTCCCTCCCTCTCTCTCCCTGCCTCTCTCTCTTTCTGTTCCTGTCTATGCGCATAATCCTAAAACTTCCTGCTCCGAATTCTTGATTACAGTGTAACCAACACAAACGACAAAGTTCAAAGTCCACAAGGAGGTTTTTTTCTGGGTTTTTTTGTTTTTTGTTTTTCTTTTAATCAGAACAAGGTTCAACCTTTTATAAGACTAAAGTATTCTTAAACAGTACACAGAGTGGTACTTTAACAGTTAACAGTTCCTATTTGGGGTTTTTTGTTCTGTTTTTTGGACAGCAGCCTTTGTCAAAAATTCCTTGTGTTGCTGCTTTTGGTAAACGGTGCCTAGATAAACAAGTTTAACACCTACTTGCATGTCTTTCATCCACTCTAATGCAGCCTGTTGAGTGAGAATTATTCAAGGAGGAACACAATGGCACACACCTTGCACAGCAGCTAAACTGGTTTGACCACATAATGCTTAACTAAACTCAAAACCGTGTCTGTCTCTTGAGAAGTAAAAAAAAGAATAATATAAAAAAAGAAAACGTATATCAGTGTTTTTGTTTTGTCACTGTGAGACAATGGCACTGAAGTTTTCAAGCCTTTCTGCATTTAACATTTCATTTTTTGTCTGATTTGTTTTTCAATGCACTGCAATAAACAGAAATTTCCAGTTTAAGATAACATCTTCTCTTTGTTTAAGAACCAGTTAATAAAGAGTGAGTGAACAGTGAGGCATATCACTACCCGCATAACCGAACTCTGCTTGTCCCTGTCCATGCAAGGTTGAACACTTTAAAACTTGTGCTGTGTTTATGTTTTTCAGTTTCTGCTATTACCATTTAAAAAACAGATAGCCCTGCTTATCTTATTTCTTTTCACTTAAATATGGAGTTAGCTTTTATTCATAATGCTTCAAAATTATTGCATTTAAACAGGTTGCCAATGTGAAGTATTTGTTACTTTAGCGCAGTATAAGAAGTGTTCACATTACTTTCACTTTTGGTTTGTATCATGAAGAGACAGGTGCATGCAGAGCTACAAGCTGGTTTTTTTTGCATTCTTTACATTGAAAGGACTAAGATGTTTGGTAGAAAGCACTAAGACAGTAAGAAGTATATAAATAATACCTTTTTTTACTGTCAATTCTGTGCAAAGGAGTAATGTTGGAAGGTAAAGTGGCACCACACATTTTCTACTGAGTAATTACCATTATTGCAAATCTTGATATATATATATTTTTCAAGACATTAAATATGAGTTTATACGAGTCATTCATATAAACCTTTTTTTCTGTTAATGTTGGTAACAGGTAGAAAAGTATGAAGGAGCATTAGTAATATATTAGTAATATATATTATTGATCATTTTGAGAATACATTTGGAATTTCTTCCACAGTTTTCCGTCTGACTTTCTATGCCATCTTTTTAATGTCCTTAAAGTCCTCTCCACACTCTGTTTATGTGCTAAGAAATAATCTCCTTCTTACTAAAACTGATTCTGAAGTATGATCTCATTAACTCAACTACACTACTACAGTCTTGGACACATCACCCAGTTTGGATAGGTGTGAATAAGTGACCAACGAACTAAATAAGGCCACACATTCTAAGGAGGAGAGGCCAGGGCAGTCCCCCCTATAAAAACATGGAGGCTCCAGTCAACATAACATAACAACACAAATAAAATAGCCTCTACACATTAAACTGAATATTTATGCTCACAGTATTCAAGTTAAAGTTGACAGATTATGTGAGTTAGGCTGTATGTTATATAACATATATGTCATGGTTCTTTATTGTGAACCAAAGTCTAACTTTTTGTTACACTTTGGTTCCACTCCACTGATTAAAATAGCTGCCTTTCGGCACCAGTTGTGGCAGAGATGCATGCTGGGAATTTTTTTAAATCTGAACTTGTTCTCAGTCATTTGTGCAAAATGTCCTTTAACCTGTTGTCATCAAATATGGAGGAGCTAAGATAAGGCATATTAGAATATGTTGAAAGTAAGAAGATGAAAGACTACTCCTTCCCATTTAGTACTTTAGTTTTCTTTATATGCAGTTTTATTTTAAACTGTAAATCTGAGCATTATATATATGTTTTGGGAAACTATAAACAATGACCAAAAGGTAATAATAACAGTAAAAATTCTAACAATTTCTTTAGTAGTTGCAGTATTAGAAGTACTCATCATTTAAACCTGTGTTTAATTTTCCTAAGACTTCTAAACTGGTCCATTGTTTGAGTTAGGTGCCTCCTTATGCAGGAATAGGTCAGTGTTAAGTGGCTATATAAAATATAACAAAAAAAGCATTTCTTTGCAAATAGTCAAGTAATACTGGACATAAATGAGCGAAAAGGGAGCCAATGTCCAAAGGAAAACTTTGAAACTTCAAAAAACCCAGTGAACTGTTGCTATTAATGTTGAAAATTTACAAGAAAGTCTAGCTCTCTCCTTGAAAAGAAAATACAAAGAAACAAGGGTTTGTGTGTTTTGAAACAATGTGTTTTGAATTTCTTGTACATCAACCTCCACAGCAGGAGGGGCTTACAGCTGTTGTACAGAAGAGCTCGCAAACAAGGTTAGGGAATAGTTTGGATTCTTTATTCATTCGCTTGATATCCATTCCATAAACTGTTCTGAGGAAGTCATGAAATTATGCAAGAAAAATAACAGCATTATATTTGTCAGAGATCCTTAAATCAAGTCAGCCTCATTACATGTCATTTGCAGTTTGAGGCAAAAGACAAAACAGAAGAAATGTTTTCTCTCTAAATGTTGGGGTACTTAACCAGAATGCAGAAATATTTGAAATTGTTATTTATAAGCAAACTTTCTATAATCCAACTCTCTTCCAGATCAGCCAGCAAAGCTGATTAACATTTAGCTATAACAATATAATTACTGTAATTTAAACTTATAAAATTTACATTTTTCAATTAATTAAAAAAAAGAAAGGTGTAGAAGTATGCCTATTATTGTCATCTCAACTGCATTTGTGTCATTTTGGACGCTATGTTAATGCCAGATGGTGGTAATCATAAATCCTTATTTATTTATTTATTTGTTTGTTTGTTTGTTATTTTTAATTGGTAATGCTGTCTGACACTAGATCCAGCACAATCACAGTTATATTTCTACATGTTGGAAACAGATGGAAAGAAAGTTTCCACAATATATGTTTTTGCCTTGTTTTCCTTTTAAATGAAAGATTTTTTTCAAATAAATCAACATATTTGCCAGTTAAAGCTGTGTAATGACAAACTGGGACAGTGGTCTCTGCAGGGCAGAGTCCGCAGACATGAGCCAACAGTTCATTGTGACAGGAGAAGCAAAGCTGTAGTCAACAACCATCTCCCTACAAAAGAAAGAATAAATAGATAATATATCTTTGTAGTAATGGCTGAATAAAGTAAAACAAAAACATAAGTACAAAAAAGAAAAGAATATATACCCAGTAACGTCTGCCTCCTGGTTTTTAATCTTTAGTTTTCTGACAGGAGCTTGCTGTACCTCCTCATAAACTGCAGCCTCTACAGCTGGAAAGAGAGAGTAAGCAACATTGAAAACCAATGCAGCAAGGACACACACACACACAGCTTTTCACTCACCTAAAAGTCCTTCAGCATTGTTGTCCGAGGGACGCTGTCTTAAAGCTGGCCAAAGGAATTTTGGACCTTTGTTCTCATGAACTATGATGACCATTCGCATGTCTCCAGTGGCAACGTCTATTTCGTTGTTGCGCACAATCACTGTCACACTGGAAAAACATGGAGTTACTCAACTTTTTTTTAAAGCTGTATAAAAGTTCAAGGCACCTGCACAGATCATGCTACTTGGATGAATTTAGCCTGCTCTGATTAAATAGCAGTGCAGTGCATAAAGTACAGGGACTTTAATGTAAGCATCTTTTGTAAAAATGAATTTATGACAGTGAATTCATGACAAACTCTACTTCATGTCTGCCCCTGCCATTTTCATTCTGTACTTCAGTTCATGGCCTGAACAAATAATTATTTGCATCCATCAATGTATTTTCTTCCACTTATCCATGATAGGAGCTGGAGCCTATTCCTGAGAGTTGGGGTACACCCAGGATAGGTCCTCAGTCTGACACAGTGCTGGCTGGTTTCTAATAAGTAAACTTAAGTCTGTAAATAAATATAAGTGTATGGCTTGCAGTCTACCGCAGCATAAAAAGTGAAGATCTGTATGCACTCGTCTGCCTGTATTCTTGTGCATTTGGGCTTTACTCACATGCACTCATGTGAGAAACAATCATGTTCCTGCTTTCGCTTTCCTTTTCTGAGCCAGCTAATCTCTGTTCTGTGTGTTTTAAATCTCAAAGCCTCTTATCATTTTGCCTTTCGGACTCCTTCATGTGACCCACCTCCTCCAATTGCTTTACCTCATCCACCATTCGCATGTACCCTCCTAACATTGACTCTGATCTGTTACACTATGTCTAATCACCAAATAGCTTATAATTCATACTCTTTACTTATAAATCTTACCGGTGCTTTCAAATGATCTCCCTGAAATCTGAAAATCTCTACTGAAATCATATCCCATCTGCTCAATAATCAACACAAAATAAAAAACAAAATTTTTAGGGGTTTCAGCCTCAGATATGTCAGCTAACTTGGACAGGTGCTGAGAGAGACAGTCTTCTCATGTAAATCTTGGTAACACAGGTGAATAAGGTCACGCATCTGTGCTTAAAGCTGAGAGCATGAGTCTCGACCATGATAATACAACATCACCTTCCAGCTGTAATGCGATCCTGTCCAGTGTAATTTGTTACTGTCTGTCCATCTCGTACAGTGACCCGGTTGGTGTCGATCTCAACATGTTGGCTGTCATTGATGTGTATGAAAATTCTGCTGAAGCCTCCATTTGTAACTGAATCAAGCTCACCATTTACAGACAGTTCTAGAAGAAAAGAGAAATGCTGATCTTATACCACAAACTGGAGTTTTCATATGAAAATAACAATGAGAAAGAAGAGTAACAATTTTTATTACACTGAAAAGAAAAAAATATTAGGATGGAAAAAGCTAACACTACTGACCCCTGCTGGGATAGTGAAGAAGTTTAAGGCGGACAGGTCCACTGACATCAAAGCATAGTGGAACAGTCTGATTCTCAGCTTTTAGCAAAAACCTGTGGAGTACAGGAACTAGAGATACAGAGGCACACAGTATTAGAACATTTTTAGTGAAATTAAATATTCACCGCAGGTTTTTTACCCAAAATGTGCTTTATAACCCCTGAGCCAAGAATCCAAAAAATACACATTTGTTCATACATACTATGCAGAGCCTGATTTAAATAACATTTTATTCTTACAATTTTGTTTGCTTTTCTTTTTGTTTTATGGTTAATGAAGAGATTTGAAAAACAGCCCATGTTTGGAGTTTCCTTCCAGAAAAAAACTATGTAATTTGCTGCATATCTGAGTACATCATGGGTTGTTTGGAACTTGGAATACAAAAAAAGCAAACAAACAAAAGAAACCAAACCAAAACAATTACTATTATTTTTCTGTCAACCTAAATGACATCAAGGCAATACAATACCATCAGTGGCTTCCAGAGTAGTAGTTTCACGTGAAAGACGAACAACAGCAGGTTGGACATCAGGGAGAACAACCGTAAATTAATTTAATTACATACACTAACATCTTAAGTCTTTATGTTGCATATTGAGTTTATAAACACATCCTGATACTAACCACTGCTTTAAATAAATAAATAAAGACACGTATATAACTCAGTGTCAGTCTGTAAACATAGTTTGTACATAAATTAAAATTGTTGCACTTCAACTTGTTAGAAATGCTGTTGACAAACATTATCAAAGACAGCTCCTACACTGGTTTTGACCTGTTCAACCCGCTTCACTCAGGGAAACACTACAGATGCAGCGTAAATAGTTTCTTCCCAAAAGCCATAACCACGCTGAACTCACACATGCACTGACAATACAATACCACCTAATCCAAGGACTACCCTCTACACCCAGACTACACAACTACCATCACTACTGTGTAATATTTAATTAACGTGCAATAACCCACACAGTAAATATATAACCCTATTTGTTTTTTTTTCCCATTATATATTTATACATTTGATGTTTTTTGAATACTGTTCATATGTATATAGTGCTGCGAAACTGTGCCCCCCCCTTCTTTTCCCACATATCTGCACTGAGATGGAGATGCTCTGTATCTCATTGTGCATGTGTACAGTGACAATAAAAAGTATTGTATTCTATTCTATTCTATTACCCCACAAATGCAAAACCTGATAGTACATATAAATTCATATAAAAGCTTTGAATGCTTCACTAGGAGAACAGATGTTAGGAAACCCAGTAAAATTACACATTAAAACTGTGCACACAGGTTTTTTGGGTAATTACCAATACTGTTAATCTAAAGCAGCAGTTACATAAACCTTGCATTGGGTGACGGTCTAATAAATTTGTTAAGCACTTTACCTGGTGCAAGGTCTCCTCTCTCTCCTCTGGGGGTATGCTGTTGCAAGACTAAAAATAAACAGTAACATTTAAGAAGGAAATATCTGTTTTTATGAAATAC